ACCAGGTACTTACCAAATTTTGAACTACTGACCAGAAGGAAGGTAACCAGGTACTTACCAAATTTTGAACTACTGACCAGAAGAAAGGTAGCCAGGTACTTAAAAGAACTATATTACAACACATCTGCTTGAATAAAAAAACTTGTTTTAATTGTCTTTGGAACAAATTATTCTCAAATGTTATGTCTGTAAGTTGTAACAAATAATCCACCAGTAAATCAACTTACACAAACACCAGTTTTTAATTTCTATAAATGTTTCAAAAATATGTTAACATGTTTTTAACTAGTGCAAAAACTATTTCTCGGCACAAAATCCACTTCTTTGTTTTGTCACTATTCCGTGTGTGACTTGTAACAGCAAATACTGGAAGTTTTGTCAGTAAAAGTACTGCTGTTAATTAAATTACTTATATTGTCCATGATCATTCCAGTTCCTCAGAATTAACTGGTTCCAACATTTACAGATACTTTAAAAAGTGACCAGTAATTGAACTTATTGATGTATTTGTCACTAAAAAAATTTTATAGTACATCAACTTCTATTTTCGCATATTTCACAAATTATTTATTTCTGTAGAAACAAAAAACTTTATAGTTCTTAAAAGTCTTGATCCCAACCAGAAGGGTCATCTGGTGGAGGAATACCACTGTCCGGTGGATAGTGGTCAAAGTTACTGGTGTCTACCGCACTTCGTACCTACCAAGAGAGAAAGAAACCAACATTATTCGTCTTTGGGGTTACTTCTGTAGCATTTATTCTTTGAAGGGGAGGAATGAAATATAAACATTTTTATTTTTTGACTTCAAACAATAAAATAAACGTCATAGAACATGAGAAATATTACTATTATTCAGAAATGTAAAGGAATTAATAGAATTCTTAACCTGCTTTACGGAAAGCAAAATCTTAACGGTTTTTTCAGTTATATTTATCTCTCATAAAAAAATACAATGTTTTGTTTCAGATTTTAAATGAAAAACAAACACAAAAAAAGTCAGGAAATGTTTATTAACTTCAATATTTATAAAGGAATTTATTAATTTCTCAATAATTCATACATGAGGTAGGATTGGAGGCTTCAACGTACGATCACGAAGACCTTCCCAGTTGAACCCATCAAACCATCTAAACAAAAGAACAAATATTTAAAGCTGAAAAAAATTAATGTAAAATGGATACAAATAGTATATTTTATAAATGAAAAATAGGACTCCACTTTTTTTTTCTTCCTTTGAACACTGAAATTAAAATTTTCTAACAATGCTCACTAATTAGAATGGCTATTGTAAATAGAATAAACAGACATACAGTTTGAATGACAAAATGTCATCAGCTTCATTATTTTTGTTGAATGTTTTAACTGTTTACAACCCTTAATATTTCAACGGATAATGACAAGCCCAGCATTATTACATAATTTACCAATTGTGTATGTTTAATGATCATATAAGACTTTATCGAGAACACTGATTTTACATATTCGATGGTTTTTTTTTCAAGTATATATGCTGTGAAGAAGTAGATGAAGTTCACTTACTTGTGTTTCTGAATGTCTTTTATTCCTCCTTTTTGATAACCTAATCGTTCAGCATGGTTATCTCTGTTAAAAAAACAGGTATTAGAAAAATCAGGAACCACTGGCATCAAATTTGTATGAGTGGCATAATGGAGCAAGAAAATTTGGACAATGAATAAAATTATAAAATTGTTTCTTAATGCTATTGTCAGAAACTGAACAATAAAACTGGCTAGTACCACTTTGTTAGGAGTTTTATAGATAGTGTGATGCCATCAAAAACTGATTGCTCTTGGGAAGGATTTCCAACATTCCTTTTTAAATAAATGACAAGTTTCTTTCAGGAATGAGTCTTGAATTGTGTTGTATTTGCTTATGGTGTTTGTTTTCTTTGTTGTTAAAGACACCTTAGACTTTGGCAACAATGATGTATATGGTAGTGTAAGCTACACAGTGGACTATCTGTGATCTGTCTATCATGGGCTGTATTTTATAATGGAACCATTAGAAACCATATTGTAAAATCTTTAAACTGTTAGCAGTAGTTTCATTCAAGACATGAATTGTTTATAAATATTGGACTTAATGTTTCTGATTACAAATTATCTACTGTCCAATCTTCCTTACCTACAAAGCTTCTTAATTAAAGCCATAGCATTTCGGGAGATACAGCGAGGGAACCCAATTGCATCAATTCCTTTTAAAATAATGTTGTAAGTCTTCATGGGATGTGTTCCAGTGAAGGGTGGCCTGTGAAAAAAGTGATTTATTCAAAATTATAATTTCAAAGAACAACGGTATTCAGATACTGACTGTCGAATCTTATATTGATGTCAATCTCTGATTTGATAAATAAAACACTTAAGTATTTAACTAAATGTGTCCATATTAGAGAAGAACATTGAATTTAATATACGTATCTACACAGAATATGGCAAGCTTTACGTAAAACGATACGTTAAAAAGTATATGTACTCATACACAGAATATGGCAAGCTTTACGTAAAACGATACGTTAAAAAGTATATGTACTCATACACAGAATATGGCAAGCTTTACGTAAAACGATACGTTAAAAATATATGTACTCATACACAGAATATGGCAAGCTTTACGTAAAACGATACGTTAAAAATATATGTACTCATACACAGAATATGGCAAGCTTTACGTAAAACGATACGTTAAAAAGTATATGTACTCATACACAGAATATGGCAAGCTTTACGTAAAACGATACGTTAAAAAGTATATGTACTCATACACAGAATATGGCAAGCTTTACGTAAAACGATACGTTAAAAAGTATATGTACTCATACACAGGATATGGCAAGTTTTACGTAAAACGATACGTTAAAAAGTATATGTACTCAAGACATATACATATCTGTCTGATTCAGACTCCGACATGTCCGAGTGAAAGGTGATCTTCATGTGAAGGCTCCAGATATTTTGTTCATCCATAGTACAGATAGCATGTGTTATTCTCATAACCTCTACAGTTATTTTCAGTATCCCTGTATAATGTATCTGGTGTTAACTCTTCACTGCCATGAACTGTCACTAATGTAGGTAACACAAATAGTTGACAACTGTTACAACCAATACATAGTACTATGTTGAATGGCACTGTAAAAGATCATGGAATGCACTCTTTTGAACCTAACCTAGAGTGAAACATGTAATATTTTCATGTCATTTTTACAGAACTAACTCAAGGATGGAAATTAGTTTTCCCACAGGAAGGAAACTTTCAGAATTCTGTTTTTAATTGAAAATGTTAGCTTCCAATGAAGAAATGGAATAAATATTAGGCTTACAAAAGTATAAGGGTCAGATGGCTGTTAGGAAACAGTAACAAATCTGGATGGGAAAGAAAATAGGATGACATACAGAAACCATACAATCTGTATTGTAAACAAAAAAAAAACTATGTTCAGAAATTCACAATACCCTAATGGTCTAAATTAGGAATGTAGTGTTCAAAAATGTAATAGGCCTAACACAATGTCATAAGACAAACATAATTAATTATAATCATGCTTTTCCAATTGTTGATGTCAAAGGTAATCTTCAGTACAAAGACGAGAAGGAAGTTGTATAAGAAAGTTGGTAACAAGTTAAAGAAAATACATATATAATAGTAACAAAACCTGATGATGACAAAACCTTGTTGAAACATTGTACATTTTCTGTTATGTTAAACTTATATTAAAGTTTTTCTTCATTACCCAGTCAAGCTGTCTCCAGCCATTATTAGTAACAAAACAAGTTTACTGGAAGAAGAAATTCCTGAAACCTAAACTTGGGGACAGAAAATTTCACAGTAACATAAGTACAAACGTTTGAGAAAAAAATCTTCACAAAAATTACCAGTTTCTTTTAAAATAACGGCCCCAAGAAAGTTTTATTACAACATGATAGTAAATCTACAACAATATCTGAAAGTCAGTGGAAATTAAATATATAAATAAAAAGTTAGTAGAAAATCATTGTTGAAATGCAAGTAAACAGAAGCTTCAGTCTTGAATAACAGTGAGAAAAAGGGACAATTAAAACATAAGAACAAACAAGTTCGTATGTTTGAATATCAATAAGAGAAAAGTACAAATAAAACTGGATTAAAATAAAGTTTAGAAATATGAGATGATAAAAAAAAAATGACAAAAGTAAACGTGGGTTCAACCCTCTGTCAGAATTTGGCTTTGTGATCGTCCAGATGCAAGTTAGTTATGATATGTAAACTTTACTGTTTATAGTTTTGTTTTAAGGATTAATTCAATTTCAGTCAAACTATTGAGATTAACGTATAACATGATGAACTAAACTTAAAATAATGTCATGGTATAACATGAGCTAAACTTAAAATAATGTCACGGTATAACATGAGCTAAACTTAAAATAATGTCACGGTATAACATGAGCTAAACTTAAAATAATGTCACGGTATAACATGAGCTAAACTTAA